TAAACCATTTGCTTTTCATCCTAGGCGGTTTTTATGGCGGATTTCGCTAATGTGGCTCCACTTTCAATCATCCTACGTAACACCGCCTAAGTTACTAGGAAGATAAATCGGACTAAGTTAAAAGTTCACAGAGGTAAACCGAACTATAAATATTTTAAAATCCAATAATTTATAAAAATACATTTTTATGAAAATTTTCCAAATATTTGTTATTGGATAAACGATGCAAATAAAAATCCTAAAATCTTAGAAAACTATGAAACTAGTTTTATATTTTTTTCTAAAAATCACGATCTATGTTAGGTGCCTAGCTTGAAATTATTTTGAATCTTGATGGATTCATTTTAGCATTTATTTGCTAGAATAAGTTATCATATCTATTATAATTAATTGATGTAGAATTGTTAAAAATCCGAACTATGTAGAAGCGTCAGGACCATAGTGGGCGATGGTCCCCTACTTAAATTTTCAAAGCTCCTGTGTTAGCCTACATTGTTGCATACACCTTATGTTTAATTAAATTTTAATACAATGAATTATGGAGCTTAGTATGACAGAAAAATCAAGATTGTAGCATATGAGACATGATGTTTGTATAGATAGGATCAAGTGACACAAACATGATCAAGCAACACTTATGTTTAATACTAATAAATAGTGTCAAGTATGATGTGATTACATGACATTTGTATTGTCGTCAAAGTCATTTGGTTCTCAACATAGACTAATTATAATAGATCATGAGATCATCTACTAGCAAATAAGCACCAAAAGGAGTCTATATAAGATTCAATCAATTCTATTTAGGCACTATAAGATAGAGAACGATTTTAAAGATATGAAACTATTTTCATATTTTTTAGCTAAATCAAAATTTCTATGAATTTGTAAGATTAAATTAGATTATAGGTTTTTTAATTGCATATTTTTCAAAAAAAATCTTGGATTTTTTTAAAAAAAATTATAGTTCGATCTACCCTTGAATTATTAACATAAATCCAATTTACCTTTCTCTTAGCTAATGCACACCATGTAGGATAGCTGTTGTGGTGCACTAGCGCTACGTTAACAAAACTGCTTAGAATGAAAACATAAATGGTTTTAAAAATTGAGAGAAAATCAGACGACCACGAAGATTGAGGGTTAAAATGATTTCCCCCCTATAATCATATGTTTGTTTGTTTGTTTTTTTAGTGGAAAACATATGTTTGTTAGTGTTTCCTTCATCGCCCACCAGGCCACCACCGATCCAGGCCTCCAGGGAAATATTAAGCCAATCTGGCCCAGGAAGAAATCAGCTTCGAGAGGAAGCCCAGCCCAAAAGAAAATTTGATTGAAGCCGGATTTGTTCTTATTGGACCGAAACAAACTAATATACTTCTGGGACGACTCGAAGCCTCTTGGAAGTTGCAAGCGAGGTCTTCCTCACGAGTCACGACCTCACGGGGTGTCGGGTGATGCAGATCGATACAGTAGGTGCCGTTCATCTCTACCATATTGGAGTGAGGAAATTTTCCTGTCTCAACATCGCCCGTAGCCACCCCATAAAGATTTGATGGATCTAATCCGTATAAGTTAGAGTGACGTGCTCAAACCTGATACAAAGTATGATTTCAAAATAAATCTCTACCAAATATTAATAAAGGCATAAAAAGTTTCTTGGTCCAACATCGTTCACAACCGTCTGGTAGAGGTACGGTAGATCCAATCTCTCCCAAACACATGCCCACCATGTTCGTCCCAAAATGAATTGAGACATATGACACGATCATGGATATGGCCCTGTTCTCCTTTTTTTTTAGAAACATATGGCCCTGTTCTGCAGCGAACCCAACAGGGTTTTTCTCTCACAGTATTTCAGCATAAGCATCAGCATAAAATTTGATTTCAGTTAGACCAATATGTGTCTAGACACAGTATAAAATTTGATTTCAGGATGAATTGAGTCGCAAGCCATTCGTATAACACGTAACAAGTGTACGTCAAAAAAGAGTTAACGGAGACACAGTGCACGTTTGCTGATTTATGAACCGTGTAAGGCTATGTTTGGATCAAAGGAAACGCAAAGGAAAAGTACAGGAAATCTCGATCCAAAGGAATGGCTACAATTTGCCCATTTGGAACGAAGGAACATGTAGTTTCGTTCCCCTCGAATCCTACAGGTATGGTGCGATTTCACGGGAATCAAAAAAATCCACTCCTTTCCATTGTTTCCTCTTCCTACGCGAAGTCCGATGCAAGCCTGCAACAAACTTTGGTACCTTGTAACCTGTAAGCTACTTGATCTAATCACACGCTTGAGCTTAATTAATATCCATCTTAACACGTATTCCTGTGTTTTCAATTTCTACATTCCAAACGCCTATTTCTATACTTTCCTATGTTTTCTCGTTCATCTGTTTTGTCACCTCGTCCCTGTGCCTTTCTATGATTTCTAATTCTACCACGTTCCAAACAGGCCCTGAGAGTCGCCAAGCAATGGGAACTATGGAACCAGACGACTTTATTACTACTTTCAGTCATTTTCACCTTCCCTGACCCACCGTATTCGGCACGTAGACGTAGTACGAACGAGTGCATGTCACTCTCCGAGGCTTCCCAATTTGCAAAAACGGACGCGCGCGCGGTAGCCCCACGCCCCCACCATGCGTCAAGCTTCATTGCAAACCACTCGTACGTACCAATAATATCCATATCCATATCCTTTTTGCATTGTAATAAAGGGAGGAGGACGGAGAGAAGGAGACTCGCCGTCGCCGGACCAAACTGTGCCGATGGCGGCGGGCGCCGGGCGGCAGACGATAGCCGGCCCAGCCAACCAAACCCCACCACACCGAGCTGCCATCTGCGCGCACGCTCCTATCGCGAGAAGAGCTTGCGCTTGCATGCGTTCCAATCGTCCGGATTCCTGCGCGCGAGTGAGAGCGAGGGAACGAACGAACGGTTGGTGGTGGTTGTCGCTCAGCGGTCCGCAGCTGTCCTGAGAGAGGACGACTGCCGCTTTCGCCGAGCCCGCCCCGCCCGCCCGGGCGCTGGCTCGCGGTCGCGCACGACGGCGACGCGCTCGGCCGACATGCAAAGCAATGGCCCCGGGGCGGCTCGTCTGTTCGCGGGGATGGGATTCCATCACTAGTGCTGGTGCGTGTGTAACGAGGAAGTCCGAACCACACGGGATCATCCTACGCCAGAGGATACCGATGATTGGACTGCTAACGTCGACCGGCAAGCAAACTGCCACCCACCACAGGCCCCACCTGTCGGGTCGCAAGTAGGGGGCTGTACTACTACCCGTCTACCAGAGCCAACGGCGAGCTCATCTGTCCAAGCAAAGCAAGTACCACCACTCCACCAGTGCTGTTGCCGTATACAATTGCCGCGTGCGCTAGAAAATGCATCGTGCCTCGTGAGCGATCCCGGGGATTCCAGGCACGTACGGCAAGTCGGCAGACACTTTCGATCGGACGCCGAAGCAGAGGGAATCTCGGGAACAAAAGAAGATGAGGCGCCGATCGGTCCACAAGAGCTAGTACTACTACGTGCTGCACACACCACGCCTCCCTTTTTTTCCTTCTCTGATGTTGTGATTCCATGAAAGGAAGGACCAGTAGCGGCTGTCCACATCTCGTTTCGTGACAACATAAAAGACGTAACAACGCTACCAGACCATATGCCGCCGCTGAGGGCAAAGCCACCAAATCTCAACAGCACCCAAGTGACATGACAACAGTAAAGTGACGGCACTCAGAACAGGCCTTCGTTTTCACCACTGTATTGTTTTCCTTTTAACCGGAGAATCCCAGCGGTTTCGGAAGAATATAACACAAGATGGAGTACCCCAACATTTTAATCGCTTTAGCAAATGTTCGTGTAGCGCCACCGCAAATGGTAGCATTTGATATTCCCGTTTTTAAAAGCCTCGTGGTCGTGGATTGCAGAAGAAAACTACTCATGCATGTAGAGGAAAATTCAACATGCGACTGGTCATAGGCTGTTGATCTGATGATATCCAGGCTGGCGAAGATAAACAAACACACGAGTAAGTGAGTAACCGGATGAGTGCGAAGCAAACAAAAAAGGAGAAAAAAAGTCGTCGGCAAGCGTTCTCACGAAGCGAATAAAGCCACACGACGCCGACCCACTCTCCCTCCACTGACAAAGTGACCAGCTCCACTCCGGTCCCAATAATCAGTAGCACAATGCTTCCCAACATCCCTGTAGGACTGTAGATGAGACGAGGCCGCGTTTTAAAACCCCCTCACACCTCACCGCGCGTTTTCCTCCGCTCGCTTTATTCCCCGCGCCCCAACTGCGCGCACAAACGCTCTGCCACTCTGCTGCTTGCAACTGCGAGAGGATTCTGGCCTGGTTTAGTTTCTCTCTCTAAAAATTACTCTTTATCTCATTAAATATCTAGACATATATATAAAGTATTAAATATAGACTAAAAATAATTAATTATACAGTTTACGACTAATTTGTGAAATGAATTTTTTAAACCTAATTAGTTTATAATTTAATAATATGGCGCTACAGTAACACATATGCTAATAACGGATTAATTAGATTTAATAAAATTGTTTCACAGATCACTAACGAATTCTATAATTTATTTTTTTATCAGTATTTAAACACCCACCGTATGACACCCTGCAACTTTACACCTCATGTAAAGATGGCATCGTTCATTTCCATCGCTGCTGCTCGAGCTCGGCTGCTACCAGTAGTAGTGAGCTGTACACAAAAAAAACCTAACGCGCCATATATATATATATATATATTTGTATTCAACTGCTGGTCTCGATCGAGTCGTCGCCCAATTGGTTAATCGGGAGCAGAGGCATCGCCCACGTCCAATCATCCGCCCCTAAATCCCCAGAAGCACCCACGCCTCGCGCACGAGATCCCACGCGCGTCCCACCAGCGCAGCACCACCTCCTCCTCCTCCTCCCGCGCGGTCCCAGGCCGGCGGTGGCCTCCGGAGGCCCTGCGTGCGGCGACCCATGGACGCGGCGGCGAAGAAGAAGATGACGCGGAGCATCTCGCGGCAGCTCTCGTCGGGGGCGGCGCGGCTGTGGCGCCAGCTGTCGCTGGACCCGCACACCCCGCGCCACGGCGGCCCTGGGCCGGGGGCGGCGGCGGGGCCGCGGCAGCAGACGCGGTTCGCGATCGCGAGGCAGTCGTCGCTCGACCCGACGCCGCGCGGCCGGCCGGACGGGTCGTCGGCGCACCAGCAGTTCGCGGTGCCGGAGAACCTGGACGCCACCATGCGCCTGCTCTTCGCGGCGTGCCAGGGGGACGCCGCCGGGGTGGAGGAGCTGCTCAGGAGCGGGGTGGACGTCGACAGCATCGACCTCGACGGGCGCACGGCGCTGCACATCGCGGCCTGCGAGGGACAGGGGGAGGTCGTGCGCCTGCTACTCGACTGGAAGGCCAACATCAACGCCCGCGACCGATGGGGCAGCACGGTTCGTCAACTCTACTGCTACTACTACTTCATTTTCGTTACTAGCTCTCTCTGTTCCTCTTTGACGAACGCGATCGGTCTATATCACTGAATGGGTGGAGCCTTTGTAGTTTCTGATGTGCTTCAGTTCATACTAATGGAAAGTACGAAAAGAACATCAACACAGCAACGCTAGATCAATGCCACGCTAGCTGAACGAATTTTATGGTTTAACCTATGCAACTGGGGATTTATAGTGAATAGTCAACGAGGTTGATTAGACCTGCATGATAAGAGGAATTACTTATCTAACTGAACTTGATCTCTGTCTTCCTGCATTTTGTTGGACGATTTTCAGCCAGCAGCAGACGCGAAACATTACGGCCATTTTGAAGTATATAATGTTCTGGGAGCAAGAGGAGCAAAAGTTCCGGTACTATATATCTCACTTACGCAAAAATATTGAGCTATTCCTTTTTTTAGAAGAAAAAAAAAGATGCAAGGGATCTGAGCCATTCCTCCTCTCTTGCTTTCTCACATACTGTATATATTTAACATGTGCTTATTTTACTCCCTAGAAAACCAGAAAGACTCCAATGGCTGTGTCAAATCCGAAAGAAGTTCCAGAGTATGAACTGAACCCACTTGAACTGGAGTTCCGAAGAGGAGAGGAGGTCACAAAGGCATGTTTTTTTTTTTTATTATGACATTGTCTGTTTATTCTTCATATTACTCTGTTCTTAATGTTTTTGTACTTTGGGTTTTGGTTCTTCAGTGACTTCCACTAAGATTTTACTTCCACATAGAAGCTCAAGCTAAAGGATGATTTTTAGAATTTTCAGATCTATTTATTCTCAATATATGTGCTGCATGTGCTACATTATGTTTTCTCTATCTATTCGTGCAAGTGTACATTACCTTTAAAATTTGCATACAATTGTGACAGTCCTTGTCATACAATTTTACAGGGTACATATCTGGCAAAATGGTATGGCTCGAAAGTGTTTGTTAAGATACTTGACAAAGACAGCTTCTCGGATGCTGATAGCATGTAATGGCTCCCTACATTAACTCTTATCTTGAGTAATCTTTTATATTAATTACATGTGCATTCTGTTATACCTTCCATTGTGTCAAATGACGTTGATTAATCAACACCATAATTTATTCCTTCTCATTCACTCAATGAGTTCATGTGTACTACAGTTTCAGGGCGATCTTGAAACTTGTTCCGCATGTCACCTAGGTCAACTATTAATTTGCATATCCACGTCCCTAAACTTACTAAATGGTTCACTCGAGGCCCAAACCTATATAATTAGTGTTGATTTGTTTACTTAGCATCTATGGCAGCATCCATGTCAATGAAAATTTGAAATTCATCATTCATATCACTATTGGCCTATTGGGTCACACATCATAGCCAATGAAGAAAATAAGAATTCCAGTGGGATGCACATGTTTAACATCATCTCTTAGATTGCTATATTGGCTTGCAACATCAGGAGTAATATGCTAATTAATGGTATTTGGATCTTGAGTGGCACAATTAACTTCAGGGACCTGACCTAGGTGACACCGCCAAGCAAGTTTAGGGACCGCTTGTGCATTTTTCTCTTTATTAGGAATGCGTATCCAAATTTTTGGACTGTTATAGTCATGTAGAGAGCATAGTGTGTAACTGTGTACTCAAACTTTTTAACCATTGTGTTTAATAAACGATGCTACAAAGTGGCTTTTCCATATAGTTAGTCTGTAATATAACCTAAAATATGTCTGTAGCATTGTAATTTTTGTTCTGTTTCATAGGGGTTGGCCTATTAATTAACTTTTGAGCTCTCCTTTTCTTTTTTGCATGCAATGTTTCTAAGTTGCGTTATGTTTGTTCAGAAATGCGTTCAAACACGAGCTTACCTTACTTGAGAAAGCACGGCATCCCAATTTGGTCCAATTTGTTGGAGCTGTCACACAAAATGTCCCGATGATGATTGTTTCAGAGTACCATCAAAAGGTAAGTTACTATAACTGACTGAACAAGACAAATTTCTGTATTCAGTTTCAATTAGTTGCTCAAGCCATTCTCTTTCAAATAGCACTCCTTTTACACATAAAATCTATGCAGTCTTTGTCATTGATGACTATATCCGTTTTTCCCTGATTAGGGCGATTTAGCCAGTTATCTTGAGATGAAAGGTCGCTTGAAGCCTCACAAAGCTATAAGATTTGCTCTTGAAATTGCGAGGTGTGTGAATACTCATGAAATCTATATTGTTTTTAAATGCTTGTCCTTTTGATAAAATTTTATGTACCTTGCGGCTTGCAAAATGTTGACTGAAGTGCAGCGCATAGGGGTAGCACACTATTTTATACTCACATAGAAAAAAGATACTCTTTCCTGGCTTATTGATCAGAATGGCAGGACTGTTCTTTTAGGTGTGGTAACACACATATGTGTTTTCAGATAGCAATTTTTGTGTTGATTCAGTTGGATACAATTGAAACAACACTATGAAGCTTGTTTCTGCTACCTCTACAGTTGAACCGAACAAAGTGTTCAGGATTTTTTCCCTTCTTGTCCAGGGGACTGAATTATCTCCATGAGTGCAAGCCTGAGCCAATCATTCACGGACATTTGTCACCAAAGTAAGCTCATTAAGCATTATTCCATCGTTGAATTCGTTCAAGACTTTTAAATATGTGGCTACATGTATGCTGTACGCTATGATACTTTGGTAAGGTTGCAGAAACATCGTTCGGGACGATGAAGGACAGCTTAAGGTGGCTGGGTTTGGATCACTGAGTTTGACTAAAGTTTCTGAAGATAAAGTACAAATGGCTCAGCCAGTTACAAAACTAGACAGTATGTTGCACTTACTCAGATGGTTTTTTCTTATTAAAGAAGAGCTTTGATTTATAAATGGACCTTAGATGTCACCATCTCGAAGGAAAAAATAGTTCAAATGTTCAATCCATGTTATGCTCCTCCTAGACAATCCTATTTCTTTATTATGCCTTTGCCGTCGAAATGTAAGTTCATGAGTTTGGTCAGTTCCTTTTTCAGATGTAGTGTTCATTTGCTTTTAGAATTAATTTGACACCAATCTTATTTTACTATATAATACTATTTTAGCTAGTGTCCGAGTTCCTTTTAACCCCCCCTGTTTATTTGGCAACTCTGTCTTGTAGCTTTGCTGATACTTTCCTCAATGTGCATAGATGTATACATCGCTCCTGAGGTCTACAAAAACGAATCATTTGACAGAAGTGTAGATGTATTTGCATTTGGTCTCATTCTTTATGAGGTACGCAAAGCTATCCAATCTACATGCAAGGAATCTAGGCTAATCATGTGTTGCATCCTGGCTGATGTGTCACTTAGATGAACAGAAATTCTTAGCTTCTCACGTTTACACTGCTTGCCCGTTCTATTGATGGTTCTGGTTCAGATGATTGAAGGAACTCCTGCTTTTCACCCAAAGCCACAAGAGGAAGCAGCTAAGATGATTTGTTTAGAGGGGTTGAGACCAACATTCAAGAATAAACCAAAATACTACCCCAGTGATGTGAAAGAGTGAGTGAATCACACGCTCTACTTACTTGAGGAGCTTTGCTTCACTTGATCGATCAAGTTCTCTTGCCAACTCGACCACACTAGCAACGTGCAACCACATAGTACATACTAGGCTAATGATCACTCACAGTGGATATTTACATAGGTGTAACGCTGCATTTAGCATCGTGCCATTTTGCTGCTCATCATGGTTGCACGCTGCAGGCTGATACAAGAATGCTGGGATCCGACGCCTTCTGTCAGGCCAACATTCGCGGAGATAATTGTGCGCCTGAACAAGATACAAGCGAGCTGTGCTAAGCAGGGTCGCTGGAGAGACACCTTCAAGCTTCCATGGTACATCTCTGGCTGATCTTATCATATGAGCAGCATCAGTTGCCAATCCCCCCCGTCCAATTCCTCTCTGAAGTGTTACCCGTTTCCTACAATTGCTTCTCCATTCTGATGCGCTTTCCAGAACATGAACGTAGCTCATTGTTATGCCATAAAAATCTGTCTCGATCGTGGGGGTTGGTCTGAATCATACTCCTCGTTTTATCTGACACAGGAAACAAACTGGAGAGAGATAGTTGTAAAGTTCCGCGAGGCTGCCGTCAAGATTTCGCCCCCTCCCTTCAGCAAATGTGAGTAAACACGACTACACGAGTGAAGAAACGTGCAGAGTTACAGACAGAAGCCGTTCCTATTCAGTTCAGGTTCTATACGCGTCCAATAGGAGAGCACAGTTTGTAGCATCTATGACTGTATCTAGGCTTATGCCACCGGCCCAATTTCTCTTGAGCTATCTTCATCCAAACGGGAACAGTGAACAGAGTATTACTTTTCTGAGCATTCAGTACTCGCCACTTCCTTTTGAACTCCTACGAGCTACGACATGTGAACGTTGTAAATTCTGCACGATTTCTTTCCTTTTTGGCAGCTAGCATGTGCGAATTTGCGTGCAGTGGAGTAGTTGGGTTGGGCCGTTGGGGATAGGTTGATAGTAAAAGCAAAGGGAATATGCCTGGACTTGTAGGACTTAAGCATATTTGTTTTTACGAATTGTGCTATTTCAACGAACAAATAATATTTTTTTAATAATAAATTAACGAACAGTACTTTTAGTCGTAACTTTTCCGCAAAAACGAACAGGGCTCAGTCGCTTGTGTACGGTGTGCTGAAAGAGAACCAGTACCGAGTCCCGAGAAATATACTGCAGCAACGAAGGGGAAGCACGCAAAGCGAAGAAATGTTCGCCGTCACGAGTGTCACGATGAGCCAGACTCACCGACCAGGGCAGCCAATGGGAAGTCAGAAGAACGGGGTACGCACGACCATGTCTGAGGAACGAGGGTCTCTTCGCTGAGCTTATAAGCCAGAATTAGTCCTACTTTTTCAGCCATAAAACAGTATTTTTCTCTCACAACAAATCAGTCTTACAAATCAGCCGCAGCAGCAATAAATCCTGCCAAACAGAACCGAGGAGTGTCAATTCCTCGCGAATTTTCAAAGTCACTTCACGTGTTTTTATTTTAATACGGAGTACCGAGAAGTTTGGAATTGCTTTGATCGAGAACAACTTCAAAAGTTCCAGTACTCCATCCGATCTAAAATTATTCTACATCTCATTTACCCAGAAATCATTATTTTAAACTTAGATTTATAAAAAAATATTATTGACATTTATATATCTTCATAGTTTTATTAATAAAAAATATTCAACTATTAATCTAATAATATTTATTACACATAATAAATATTACTATTTTTTATATATTACTACCTCCATCCTAAATTAAGTTAACTTCTAGAGTTGTGCTAAATCAAACTATTAAACTATTTTAAGTTTTAAAAAAATTTATAGAAACTATCATCAATATTTATGACACTAAATATATTTTTTATAATATATTTATTTGGCTTTATAGTTTTATTATATTTTTCTATAAACTTGGTCAAATTATTGGGACAGAGGGAGCAGTTAAATTTTGAAAAAAGTTTGACTAATCGAGAAATGAGATGTGTAATTATTTTGTAACAGGAAAATAATTTGCTATTTTTTTTAAAAAAAAAGATACGTGCAATGGTAGCCAAGAAACACTAATATCATGCGCAAAAAATGCAGGTTAATTAGCTTGCAAGGGCAGTATATATAGATAAACTTTATGTTCAACGAATAGTTCGATCCCACAGGCCACAGCAGGCAGCGGCAGACCAGCGCTTCCACTCCAGCAGAGGACTTTACCTGGCCCCGTTGCCCGTTGGCCATCTGGAACTGCAAGACATGTGCGGCGGCTTGCGGACGCTCCTCCTGTTACTTTTCGTTCTTCCTTCTCACGATTGGGCCTCGTTTAGATCGTAAATTTTTATAATTTAGACACGGTAGTACATTTTATTTGTATTTGACAAATTTTATCCGATCATGTAGTAACTAGGCTTAAAAGATCCGTCTCATAATTTATCATCAAATTATGTAATTAATTATTTTTTTATCTACATTTAATATTCCATACATACGTCTAGAAATTAATATGATGAAGAGAAAATAAAAAAAATTAGAATTCGAAGCCAATCTAAACAAGCCCTGCTTCTTCACCTGCCTCCTCCATCTCCTCTCCCTTTCCCTCTCCCTCCCCCTCCCCTCCTCCAAAGCCCTAAACCCCACCCCAGCGCAGGTCGGTGTGCCAGTCCACTCGCCCGCCCGGTCGGCGCCGCACCCCTCGCCCGGTGAGCGCCCCCCTCCGTCTCGCTCCAGGAAGCGATCCTCTCTGGCTCTCTCTCTCCCCCCCTTCCCGTATTACTTTTTGTTCCCCATTGGCATTATGTTTTAGGTTCTGTTTGGTGCGAGTCGAGTTCGCTCGCCGTTGCGTCGGTGGTTTGGTGATGAACCAGGGATGGTTTGATCAGTGGGATCGCCAATCAGTGACTCCGCATGCTGCTGTTTGTATTTTTTTAATTTTGGCCCTTTTTTGGGGAAAATTTCAGTGGCGAACGGTGAGTTTTGGGCATTTTTGGGGTCTATTCGGTAACGAAAAGGACCGAATTGAAACTGTGCTTAATCGCTAATTGATCTCAGTGAGTAAATTTTTAATTTTTTTAATGTACAAACCACGGTGGCCTACTAGTGATACGCGTCGTTGTCTCGTTGCTGCCCCTTCCTTTAGGTACTGTTTCCGTACTTCACCTGTTCCTTTGTTGTTCAGTCGCTTAGGCTGGTTAGATTAATATGTGCCTTCCTGTTGTAGTCTGGAACTGTTGAACTGCTGCTGATGATAAAAGTCTGTTTTTTTTTCTGTTTATATGTGGATAATCATCAGATTCCTCAACGAGATCAGCAAAACATACGAAACTTTGGCTAAGTAGAGGGGCTCGTGTAAACGTGAAATAGGAATGTCTTGGAATGGTTAGCTACTGATCTCTAGTCCATCTGTTACTGATATTCAGGGACTGTTAGAGGAAGTGCTCTCAATGGTGTCAGAATTAGTTCACAGTTGACCCATGACAGTTACTAGTGATAAATCTGGACAGTTGAGGCAAATAACAAGGGTATTCTTATTTAACTTCTTACCAGCATCTGAGAGAAGACTCTAGATATTTGTCCAGCTGGGGATTCAAAATTTACATTTTCTAAAACTAAATGCTGAGGTCACATGTCAAAAGGAAAAAACAAATTTCAAACGTATTTGTTGTAATGCCTATGATTGGATGAACTATGCCAAGCTTGGACACTAATTGCTTTAGTGAATTAGCCTAATGGTTCTTATGAATTAGTTGCTAGTTTCTTGTTTTTTGAATAATTATATTTTTAGGCAATTCAAGAGAACTGAACATTCGGTTCCATTAGAACAACATCCTAGGATTCCTTGAAAATTGTTGTTATATATGGTTGTGAAGTCTTATTGCACCAAGCTCCTGTTCTTTGCAACTATTTTATTTCTTTATGGGAATAATCAAATCTTATGCTTATGTTTGGACAATTGGACCACTTCAGGATTCTACCCTAAAAGGCATGACCTTGGCTTTCCCATCTGGAGATTGAGTAGCAATCAAGTATGACTTCAAGAGCAATCACGAGGAGAAGGAAATATCTTTTCAATCATGTTAAAACACTTAACCTTTCATCTTCATCCTCTACCTTCCAACATGAAAGAATCGGTTCTGAGGCTGAGCCAAGAATAGCACTACGGTTTCTGGAGCAAAGCTCCGGAGACTCAAGATCTGAGAAGGAGCAATACAGTGCGAATTTGACTAAAAGTAATTTGGCAGGTCTTGCTAATAGATTTCTGCGACGTCCAGCTCATGGGATATCTCTTTCATATTATGGAATTGGAAAGAATGACTTCCGGTTGCCGCTGGGAGCTAGATCTATTCTGCAGTCAGTTCGTGCATCATCAACTGCAACTGCAGGGCAACCTAAGTTGGATATTGATGATGAACAGAGTGAGGATCAGAAGCAAAATAGAAAGAAAAAGAGGCATCCCAGAGAGGAATGTGATCAGGCTGTGGAAGGCCTAAGTACTGCAAAAGCTAAAGCCAAAGCTAAACAGGTCCAAGAATCTCGAAGGCTAGCCAATCAGTTATGCAGAAATTCTGGGCAAGGCTTCTGGGTATTGGCCCTGCTCTGCGAGCTGTGGCTTCAATGAGCAGGTCTCAGTTCCTTCCTTTGTACCTAAATGCGTACATATAAGAAGAATGATTGGTCTGTTTCTTTCTTAACTTACAAAACTTTACCTCTTTGTTTGTCAAGGGCTGATTGGGCTGCAAAGCTTAGGCATTGGAAGGATGAATTTGTTTCTACACTGCAGCATTACTGGTTAGGGACAAAGCTACTATGGGCAGATGTTAGAATCTCATCAAGATTGCTGGTGAAACTTGCCGGTGGAAAAAGCCTTTCTAGAAGAGAGAGGCAACAGCTGACACGCACAACAGCTGATATCTTCAGGCTGGTACCATTTGCTGTGTTCATCATTGTTCCTTTCATGGAGTTCTTACTGCCAGTGTTCCTGAAGTTATTTCCAAACATGCTTCCATCAACTTTCCAAGACAAAATGAAAGAAGAGGTACGTGTTTGATTGGTTTCAGAACCAGAGATTATACTGGTCTGGTGGTGTTACATTTCTCGTCATGCGAATAGTACTCTGTATGTCACAAACTCACTGCTGCACATTTGTTATTAGTGTATTAGTTCCATGGCACAGCATTCCTTACTGTTGCTCTTGTTGCTGTAGATAGTCATCTTTGCGTCTCATGTTTGAACTGGGTCTCCTGTGCCATTTTGTGTCATGACTACAGAGTGAAGACATTATCATAGTGCAAACTGATTGGCTTAAGGACATGATTCATTTTACTGTGCAGGAAGCATTGAAAAGGAAACTAAAAGCAAGGATGGAATATGCAAAATTTTTGCAAGATACAGCAAAATAAATGGCAAAGGAAGTTCAAACATCACGTAGTGGGGACATAAAACAGACTGCTGAAGATCTGGACGAGTTTTTGAACAAGGTATATATTCTTTCTATGCTCCAATCATTACTGTAATTAGTTATCTATTGTAACAAGGTATAGATTCTTTCTATGCTCCAATCATTACCACAATTAGTTATGTATTGTAAACAGCCGTTTGCTATTCTGTGATTGGATAACATACCTAAATTTTGCTTAGGTAAGGAGAGGTGAACGTGTCTCTAATGACGAAATCTTGAGCTTTGCGAAGCTTTTCAATGATGAACTTACTTTGGATAACATGAGCAGGTTCGATGTTCTTTTATCTTACCTGTATAAATTGATCATCAAGCTATCAAAGTTACACCAGTGATTAAACAGTTGCTTGGTATTTTTTCTGCAGACCACGCTTGGTAAATATGTGCAAATATATGGGTATCCGGCCTTTTGGTACAGATCACTACTTGAGGTTCATGCTTCGCAAAAAACTGCAAGAGTAAGTATTTAAATTGATACTGTAGAAATGCTGGTTTAATTTGCATCTGGAGCATCTATATACTATTCTGATTGTATCTACTTAAATGCCAGTGTAACATTGGCCTCACTGTACACAAACTTGCTTTCCTACCTTAATTGAAAGGCAGAACTCCTGCCACCCACAACAACAACAACAAAGCCTTTAAGTCCCAAACAAGTTGGGGTAGGCTAGAGTTGAAACCCAGCAAAAGCAATCAAAGTTCAGGCACGTGAATAGCTGTTTTCCAAGCACTCCTATCTAAGGCTAAGTCTTTGGGTATATTACATCCTTTGAAGTCTCCTTTTATTGCCTCTACCCAAGTCAACTTCGGTCTTCCTCTGCCTCTCTTCACGTTACTATCCTGGCTTAGGATTCCACTATGCACCGGTGCCTCTGGAGGTCTACGTTGGACATGTCCAAACCATCTCAACCGGTGTTGGACAAGCTTTTCTTCAATTGGTGCTACCCCTAATCTATCACGTATATCATCGTTCCGAACTCGATCCCTTTTTGTATGATCGCAAATCCAACGCAACATACGCATTTCCGCGACACTTATCTGTTGAACATGTTCAATTTTGTAGATCAAACTGTGATGAGGCTTGTGGCCTATCTTTACATTAAGTAGTTTCAAGTAAATATTTCATATTAGTCAATTCACTGGATGTGCAAGCTTACCAGAATTTAGAAATCTCTGAAATGGATTTAAGTGGTGTTTAGGTCGAATAGTAGTTCAGGTTCAGCAGTACACCTTTTTTTAAAATAAATAAATAAATGATATAGCATCACGATTCTTTTCTTGTTTCACAATTTGCTAGTTCTTTTGCCCTTTGTCTTGTTTCTGTTTGATTTAATATGCTACCATTTGAATTTTGAACTGTCTTCTTATAGTGCTGCTTATTAATTTGGTATCGGTACCTATCTTTGCAGCATTAAGAATGATGATAAGATGATTCAAGCTGAGGGTGTGGAGTCTCTTTCTGAAGAGGAGCTTCTGCAAACCTGTCGGGAACGTGGTCACCTAGGTCTACTGTCAACTGAAGAGATGAGACAGCAGGTTTGCCCACTTAATCTTATGACATGCAATAATTTTAGACTTCCAAAAGCCAGAAAGAAAGGGCTGAATTCCCTCACCATCCTTGTGGTTAGGGAGATACGGAAACATCTCAATGCTTGTGTGTCTGAGGGGTACTAGGCCTTGTATTTCAGTAGTCTTACAGGCAGTGGCGAATGAGAGTAGTTTGTGGTGTTTGGCTGGTTCGTCAGCTGTCCATGAACTACTCATCAGGTCGCTTAACCTTGACACCTACGTCAAGGTCTGTTTGGACGTGGTTGAGTCTCTATTGTATGTGGCATGTATGTAACTTGTATTCTCTCTTTAATGAAATGACACTCAGCTCTCCTGTGTCATTTTAGCGAAAAAGAAAAAAAAAGACAGCAACACCTTTAACTCAGGGGCAGATCCACAGTGCAATCAGTGGTGTCCTGTGACATCAGTGGCTTGAGGAATTACCTTTGTAACACTACCGTTATGCAACTCATAGGCTACTGCTTTAGCAAGATAATTGACTGGTGGCACCCACTGAATTGATTTCCTAGATCAGCCCCTACCTTAACTCGTTATACTATGGAATGGAGTAGTCATCCTGTATTCCTATGATAGAGTTGGGCTATGCTCCATCCATTTCCATGTAGGTCCTGTTTTGTGTTCTTCCCAAGAATACATGATATTTTTCTTAGTTCATAGCTGCATTTAAGCACCTATATGAGCTATAAAGTGCCATGTTTACGTTTCCTAGTAAATATCATCTTTTTCTTTAATCTTTTTTAGTTGACACTTTTATGTCCTTGTTACATTGTTACATTTTTCAAGTCTGATGTACTGTTGAGGAAATGTTATGACAGCACTTAGCTTGCGCTTTCAATCAAACACAACTGATATTGAGGGATTGCACGGGCTTTGAGTTTAACTGCAAGTTCAAGGCAACTGTTTATATAGAAAAAAAATAACTAATGCCATATAAATGCATATAAAATTATGCTAGTAACATTCATCTTTTTTGCCAGCTTCGAGACTGGTTGGATCTCTCACTAAACTATGCAGTGCCATCTTCACTTCTCATACTTTCAAGGTAAATTTAGTAAACATTTTCCCAGTTGTCATGCTATTTTTATGCTTGCATTCTTATGTTTGGTAATTCTGTCAGAGCTTTTACTGTATCTGGGAAAGTGAAGCCTGAGGAAGCTGTTGTAGCAACACTATCTTCACTACCGGATGAAGTTGTGGATACAGTTGGGACAGTACTGCCATCTGAAGATTCAGTTTCTGAGAGGAGGAGAAAACTTGAATTCCTTGAGATGCAAGAAGAACTTATCAAGGTGATGTGTACATATGCATCTTTTTATTTCTCTAGAGATAGCATATAGATTGTAATAGTTAAACGATGTGTTTTTTTTAACCTCCCATTGTGCCAATGCAGCCATAATCTTTGGGGACATAAAACCACTGTAATGATAAGCTGATAGAGAACTTTCCTCCACTGAATGTGTACCTGCTGGCTTGTAGTTTGTAACCTATGTTTTATTATTAGTCGAAAAAGCTAGAGTTAAGCCACATATTTAATTTTATCTAACCCAATGCGCTGTTTCAGAATTCCTACTTTCGTGCATTGTTATTCCATATGTTTCTGCTCCCTAGTTATACATCATGATCGAATCCCTAGTTGGATGCTATGTGTAAACTTCATAGGAGATCCTGTTCATATCTTTGTCACGTGTTAGATGTTCAGATGAGCACAATTACTTAGCCTTTGTTTCGATTATAGAGATTAGGTTTAATCTCATGGAATCGGTAGGGAATTGAACTAGAACCCCTTCATATTCAAAGGAATCTATCTAGTCCCTATCCATTAAAGTTTCTCATTACGTGGTTTATGCAATTTCATGGTTAGGGAGAAGATGTTCGATTAAGAGAATCTGAAATGAAAATATTATTACAAATTAGATTTCATAATTGATATCCCTGCCTGTATTGTAAGTTTGTAACTCGAGGCATGCTTCCAGTTTGTGTAGTTTCTAATCCCAATGCTGCCATCTTATCTGGAGTACTTAAAGACTCGCACTGTAATTATAGCAGATTTGTTCTCTTTCACAAATCTGCAAACACATTTTACTTGATAATTATCCTATGTTTGTCGGAACATGTATTTTTTATGTTTAACCCAATCATTTTATTTTGTTAACGTAATGCTGCAAATCTATTATTGATTTTTTAATGCAAAAATATATTCAGGAGGAAGAGAAAAGGAAGGAGAAAGAAGAAAAAGCAAAACAAGAGGAAGAGGAAAAGACAAAGCTCAAAGAACCAGAGGGTGCTGCTGAAGATTTAGCTTTGAAAGAAATGACTGAGGCTACTGCTAGGGAAGAACTGCGAAAGGCAAAACAACACGACAGGGAAAAACTCTGTAATATCGGCCGAGCATTGGCAGTGCTCGCATCTGCATCGGTATGCTCCTATACAATCAGTATTTTTCATTTAGTAACTATACACGTTGACAGTAACAACAGTGTAGCTATGGAACACTAGTGTCTCCTCATTCCATCCTCTCTGTTTGATCATTTTTGTAACTTGTATTTGCAGTCTGTAAGCAAGGAGCGTCAGGAGTTCTTGGGACTTGTCAACAAGGAGGTATAATATGAAGTAGATTAGACAAACAAATACTCATGCAGGCATCTTTCATGGTATTGCATATATAAATATGTACACTGGATTTTTAATAGGACTTTTGTCCGCATGCAGATAGAACTATACAACTCAATGCTTGAAAAGGAGGGTACAGAGGGTGAAGAAGAAGCTAAGAGAGCATACATAGCTGCTAGAGAGGAATCAGACCGTCATGCTGAGGCTGCTGCAGAAGAAAAAGTCTCATCAGCACTTATTGAGAAGGTAAGGAATCCTTTGGGGCATCCTTCGGGGCATGACCCGTAGTTGAGCAGTGTCTACCTAAAATCTGTTTATATTTCCCATATTTTGTTGCTACTACTCTTGGAACTATGCTGCCTAAATAGCCTTGAATATCGACAGTGAAAACTATAAACAAATATCTAAAAGTTGGAGATAAGAGTGCAAACTTTTACTTGCAAATTGTAACTAAGGTCTATATTGACAAGACTTGGTAACTAAAAGGCCTCTGATTTTCATTCTGATGATGTAATCTTAGAAAGCCTACCTGAACTGAACACCTCTTTTGGCATTTTAAAAGTGCTGCAAAGGAAACAAGCATCCGCATGCTTTTGTATCTTCAGTATGTTGTTGGCATATGTATGCTATTATATCCCTTTTTTGGTTGAATATTTATGATTCATGGGTTTGCTGTTCACATGAATCACATATAACTATGACCTTTGCTGCATTCAGGTTGATGCTATGCTCCAAGAATTAGAAAAGGAGATTGATGATGTGGATGCACAAATTGGAAATCGTTGGCAACTGCTTGATAAGTAAGTCACTTGTATGTATGGATCTTTTTATGTTGTGTGCTTGTCAGCCAGTGCATTTTGTTACTGAGTTCTCCCTGATAGGGAAACTTAATGCTATTTTTTGTTAATTTACAATTGGCGGTAACTCTGTTGCCCTGTCAAAACACAGTTCTGTGTCAGGTGTTTCTGTGATCTACCTAACCATATTTAGATGATTGTTTTATGAAATGCACTAGTTCATAAACTCATCTTCCTTGTGGAGTCCCTGTAAAAGCATGGTTGCTGCTTCCTATTATCCTAAGATATGTGGGATGGCCTACTTTATCAAACAGAGAAGTCATTTGTAATCTGCCACCATAACCATTTTGCACATAGTCCTCAGCATTATGATCCAATTTGCACACAATTTTCAGGGACCATGATGGCAAAGTGACACCTGAAGAGGTGGCGGCTGCAGCAGCCTATCTCAAGGACACCATAGGGAAAGAAGGCGTGCAAGAGCTCATCAGCAACCTTTCTAAAGACAAAGGTTCGTTTACCCATGACACCTACATGCTGCTCCAGTGTTACATCTGTCCAATTTTCTTGTATTTTTCTGAACGTTCTCTTTATGCACGCCTTCAGAAGGAAAGATCCTTGTTGAAGATATTGTGAAGCTAGCATCCCAAACAGAGAACAATGAAGAGGAAGAGGAAGCACGGCAGTAGCTGGAAGAGTATTCGGAAACATCGCACTCGTTTAGATAGGTGGCCTATTATTATATATATTATTTCAGCAGTCAGAACTCAGAAAATTCAAGAGACCTCAGCTACCTAACGGCAGTATCATATGTATTGAAAGGCAATACGGCCATTTTTTGTGCCTCTTGGCTGACTTTGATAGTGACTTCCAATTAGTAAGGTGGATAGACTTGCTGTAGAGATGCTCATGCTGACATGCATTTAGTTAGGCGCGGTGCTGTGGTTTGGCAAGTAAATTGCAACCGAAATTTCACCGGCTGCTATGGACGTGGAAAATACAGATCAATTGTTATGGTACTATGCAATCCCGAAATATTGAATCTGATTTAAATTCATAAGTAATGGTTGGTGGATGTTGGGGTAATTTATTGACCATAAAGTTTATGGAATCATTATGGTGTTAGCTGATTTTATTATGACCAATTATGATCTGTTGTCTACATGCCTACGTGGTTGGAGTCAATTTTCATAAGTTGAAATTTAAAATTGTGAATTTGGACCGAAATGGGCGATCAGGAAACTCGGGCATGGGGAGTTGGCCCCTACATTTACACGCTGTCAGCCATGTTGCATGTACAACAAACAATGTGTGCAGTGAAGTAATTGAATGTCGCATTCTGCAGCTTGTAAAAGTTTTTGGAGTATTCAATTTTTTTCCTTTTTCATTTCTTTTGTGTCGGAACCTGTTCACCAATCTTCTAATATCCTTAAGAACCTTGAGCAATCCAATACAACACCAGTATATCACTATGCACTATTTCTTTCTTTCCAACTTCTAAATTTTTGAGACTACATGTTGCAAGATCCCTAAGAGTAAACTATATTACCTACTTCTCTGTCCCAAATTATTGGTAAATTGTATTACCTACTTCTCTATCTAACTCCTAAATTATAGATCTTGGCTTTTTCTAGATACATATCCACCACTATGTTAGATACATTATACATACCCTTATCCCAAATTGTAAGTTGTTTTGGCTTCTTTAGGTTCATAGTTTTTACAGTATATATCTAAATGCATAGCAAAAACTATGGACCTAAAAAAGTCACAACGACTTGCAATTTAAAACAGAGAGAGTATATCTCTAGAAAAAACAAAAAGGCCTATAATTAGAAACAAAGAGCACATTTTTCACATTTATGACAGGTTTATTAGTTTTGAATTATTTAGCTCTGTCTTAAATATCGAGAGAATAACTTAATTTCCAATAGAGCTCTGCTTTGGCATGTCTTGCTCCATGATTGTTGCCAAAGTACGCAATGGCCACAGTCAGGAAACGCTTCCACCCTCCATGCTTTATATTTCTATATGCATTAGACATCGATCTGGTGCATCGACAATGGGAATTCAAAGGCAACTGACACTGTACTCATGAGCCATAGAGCTATTCCAAAAAAAAAATCATTTACATATCATAAAAAAGGACACGGGGACTTGCACATTACACTAGAACCGTGGATACTGGATATTCCCCGAGTGCAACCTGTCTTGCTGAAATCAGCAAAAAAAAAAAAAAATGTGTGAACTAAATTTCCATTCCTGGGCCAGATACCTTGGATCACATTGAGGTAATTGTTAGTGCCGGCGTCCATATGTAAAATTTCTCACGGCAGGAAGTCAACGTATGTACAGAAATCCTGGGAAGAACAAATACAGTTGCCACAACTCAGGTGAGGTGACTATAGTTGAACAAAGCATACCAAGTATTAGGAGTAAATCAGGAAAACCTGTTCTAAATGTTAGCAGTCCCCCCCTAGCCAGATGCAGATGCTGGGGTTCCATTTGCCTGCTGAGATGTCTCTGTGAGCTTCTGACCACGAGGTCGCTTACTTTTTCTGTTCGCTGAAATATCTTGCACGGTCTCATTTGGCTTCGGAGGCACCTAGCCATACCACCGTGCCATTGAATGCCATCAATTTATGCCAAAAAAAAGTCCATGCAAGATGAATAGAACTTGCAAACAAACATAAACTCAAACCTGGAACATCTGCTGGTACATCACCGGCATCAGAACATTTCCAAAAGCATGTGGGTCAACACCACTCTGAAATTTTAAATCAGCAACAGTCAGTAGCATAGCTGCCTCAAAGTAAAAATAATAAAGAAAAAACTTGAAAATAAAGAACAATTAGCGGTTAATAAGTACTCCCTCCATTTCAAATTGTAAGTTGTTTTGGATTTTCTAGGCACATTGCTGTGCATCCGCTGTCTAGATACATAGCAAAAACTATGTATCTGGAACAGCCAAAATGATTTACAATTTGGAAATTGGAACGGAGTGATATATGATTTATTTTTTGTTAGAAGATTCAATATTTTTTTACCAACTATAGAGAACGATGAATAACTACTGCTTATTGTAAATATTCCTGATTTAATATGCAAGAAAAGCATCCAAATATCCTGGAAGAGTACGGATTTGGCACCAAGGGAGGCTGGCACCCTCCTTATCTGGAGCGGACATCTTAGTAGAAATAAACAGAAGAAAACACAGATAATGGAGCCGTCTTCTTCTTCCTCACTGCCACTGCGCCACACAGCCCGCACCACCGATCATCTTCCTCACACCGCCAACAAGCATGCTAGCCATGGGCCTGCTCCCTTGTGACCTCCTTTGCGCCTCCCAGTCTCCTCCTAGCTCCAGCTGCCGCATCACGGGGGAGGACTGAGGAGGCGGATCCACTGGCTTCTTGCACAGCCGCTTGACCTCGATCATGGGCGGCACTCAGTCATGGACACAGCGCTCATGGGGAGGAGGGGCCACAGTCACGAGGCGCTCTCAGGGAGGTGCCACGCGCACAGGGGGAGGGCACTTCGTGAGAGGCGCACACGCTCATGGGGGAGGCGCGTATCTCATGGAGAGAAGACGACGCATGAGGGCAGCATGCGCTCAGGGGAGGGCACGGGTGGCGGCTGAGTTGGATCGTAGTTTAGTTGGTTTCTATTTTCAGTTTAGTTGGTTTCTGTTTTTAGTCCTTAATTATAGGATCAGTTAGCTTACGTGTGAAGGCCTCAGGCCATATTTATAGGCTGTAATCGGAACACTTGAGGATTAAGCAAGAATATTATCCTACTCCCATCTATATCTCTCCTAAGCCTACGGACAGGGGTATAACCTCACCCGGAGAAGGAATGAACTGAGCAGCGGTGCAGCTAGTCGAGGATTTGACGACCTTGACAGGGAGGGTGTGCTCATGGGGCGCGCGGACAGGAGCGGAGGAATGTGAGGCTGGGCACATCACGGACGCAGCGCTCATGGGGGAGGGCTGTGCTCATGGTGAGACACGGACAGAAGCTGAGGAACGCAAGGCGAGGAGGAAGAAGGTGGATGAAGAAACACCATCACAGCCTGTCGTCAAAACAAATCTCAGTGATGCCAGGCAACGACTCCAGATAAGGAGGGCGCCAGCACCCCTGGGCGCCATACTATTTTCGTATCATGGAAATTTGGTTTTCTAGTGCCTGTGGGATTTAGTCAAAAGATACGAGTCAGCATATATGACCATCTGTTCTGACATACCGGTACCATGTACACAATGCTTGGCTGAAATGCTGCTTGATTGCCTACAAATTGCTGGATATTAGCTGTTACTCCAATGTAGCCAGTAGGAACTATTCCTTTTTCTGCCCCTCCCTGGAGTAAAAATAGCAACCAATCAATATCTTCTTTTTAAGGAGGTCTCTGATATTGGAAGCATATAGTCTTACAAACCAATCAATATCCTCAGAGCCAGATGTGTCAACTAAGGATATAAAATTAACTAATGCTTAGTGCAATCTTACCTTTTGGATTTGCGGTACTTGCATGACTGCTGGAGCCTGCATATTGCAAAACAACCCATTTAAGCAAATCATATGGACTATCGATTCTAATTTCCACAAAGCTTACAAGCAAACATGTGTATATAAGATTTATTATAGGTCGAACCAGTACCTCTGGTCCTTTGAGACCATCATTTCTGTTTCCAGTAGCTGCACCCACCACGGTTTGACCAGTCACTGTATTTGGTTTATTTACTTTAGGAACACGAGACTTGATCCTTGGTTGTGTATCATCATGTGTGTTGCTATTTAGCAGAAATTTTTCTGTCTCCCTTACCAACCTCAAAGCAAGGCGATACTTATCTGATAGGACTGCAGAGTCAACAAGTTGCAAACATCTCATTGATATATAGTCATATCGATCCATGCGATTGTTGGGGACAAGATCGCTTGGAGGGCGTCTCTTCACATGCAACTGTCTAAAATCCTTTTTCCACCTATCAAGAATATAATGTTGTGGAATTTCACGAACCAGTTGAAACTTGAGCATGGAGAGACTATGCCTACATAGTATGCCACTGAATTGGAAACCTCCACATATACAACTAATATTCTTTTCGTCCGCTTTGTAAGTCACTGCAAAAATTTTACTCATGGTCCTTTTACCATCTTCAAGGAAAATGCACTCCTTGACATTGAATGTGGAGACAGGCCCGTCAACACCAATTAAAGATACGTGGCAGTACATTATGGCTTCAATCTCATCTTGGAACTTCTTGAACATATTATGCGTGTATACCTTTGAGAGCTGCTCTTCCATATAGAATTTTGATACCGGTGGACGTTGCTTATGAAATGTCTCAAAATCTGCTTGGGCCTCCTTCTCATATTTACTCTGCAAAGCCATCTCATACTTGCCAAGAAATTGCTTCAAGGTGGTTTTTAAATCAACATATCCATCAAAAAAAGGAGTAATTGTTTCATTTCTTTGTGTAGCAGACATTCCTGCCCAAAATGTATCTTTAATGAAAACAGGAACCCATGAAGATCGGCATTCATAAAGTGATCTTAGCCAGTCATTGCCCTGAAGCCCACTATATGTAATTAAAGTATTCCATTCCCCTTCAAACTCATCTATGGTTAAAGAATCATACACAGCCTTATGCATCGCCTTGTTGATAGCTCTGTACTCTGACAGCCCACC